ACGCTAGAATAATACAACACGAATTGAATTAAAGCTGTAATTTTAAATTTTTGAAATTAAGTACTTAATTTTTTTTTTTTGGAATTTGACTACATTGTGAATGATAAAAGTAATCGATAATCTAAAATACTTTAATTTTACACAGTAATTCTAACTTAATAAAATACTATTGTTGATTTGATAGGAATGATTAAATTTTCAAATTTAATAATTATTGCTTATTTACTGCAAACAATTAACGTAATTTGATGATATTTCTTAAAAAGTACTAATATCATTATTTTTTGCTATGATAATGTGAGTAAACACTGTTAAACAGTTCGAACCATTCACGAATATAATTAAATAAATAATACAATTAATTAAATAATGAGTAATTAATTTCAAAAATCTGTTTAAGAAAAAAAAAATGAAATGAATTACATTTTGTAACATTGTATTTGCTATGAAAAATTGCAAATCAATAATATTTTATGAGTTAAATATAAAATATAAATTTTAAACCATTCTGTAATAAACTTAAAATTTCAAAAAATTTTTAAATAAAATTAAATGAATAACTAATTTCATCCCTGTCAATCATTGATTACTTTTTTTTGTGTTTTCATTTGCTTTTTATAAAAGTTACTAAAATCTGGAATACTTTCTCATAATTGATAATAATTTTATATACATAATGATATGTTTTATGTGCACATATATTATGGAATAAATCTTTGTGAAGTAAGTAAAACAAATTAACAAGAAATGGAATACATATATATATATTTGTAATGGCATTAAATTCCAAATGTGCTTTTATTTGATTTAATAGTCATTTATTCATTCCCTTACCAAATAATGGATATCATATCCGGCACATGTATGGTATCTTATCCAGAATAATTTATTTTTTTATTTGCTTTTTAGCTTTCTTAATTATCTTAATTATCTTAAATTTCTTAATTATCAAGTGTCTTAATTTGATCCAGCAATTATGATGGAATGAAATCCGGTTACTTCCGGAATAGGATGTATCAATTATGACATCTTTTTTCTTTCCTAATTGTAATAAACAATAAAAAGAAAAAAAATGATTGGTCTTGCATTCAATAAACTGTGATGATACCTGAAGTTCCGAATGCAACGAATGACCATTCCTGATAATCAGGTACGGTTATACAAAGTCACTAATACCGGAAACTAAGTTTCCGGTATACAAAAAATATTATAGTACGTCACAAACACATTATACTACCATGAATATTATAATGAATTATATTACAGTAACACCAACCTTGTTGTATTGGTTGTATCATTTTTGAAGGTAAGTTGATAGGGAAGTTATAATTTCCAACACGATGACGTACAGGATTTTCAAACGGTTTCGCTAAGGAATTTGTCGTTCTGCTGATTTCGTGATCTAAGAGTGATGAATCTGTACCGACAAGTCGAGCCACCGAATAATTGGACGAACTTTCCTTCAATTTCGACATCTTTCTTGTTACCACATTTAGCTTCGTGAAATGTTGAAAAGAGAAAAATTACTGAAAATTAAAATGAATTCATCAATCCTTTTTGTTATAATTTTTCAACTAAACATAATGATTGATTTAAAATTTTACTAATTAAATTCAAATATTAATTAGGGTTTGGTAATTGAAAATTTTCATTTGCTAAAATTCAGCAAGATTTGGGTAATTGTATTTATTCAAACTAATCTCCCGTCCCGTCTATTTTGAGTAAATGAGTAAACGAATAAGTAAGTAAGTAAGTAAATGAACCAGAGATGAGAATGTATGTTAATGTGGGAGGATAGCTTGACAAGTGATGTGGAAATGAATCTTGGTGGAAGCAGGATGAAAGCAGCTGTAGGCGGTCCTTTACTTTCCCTGTCCTTAAATGCTGTTGGCATCTCTCTTTGGGGAGCCACAAATGGCCCGAACTCTGGAAATATTTTGATTGGGGCACATAGTGACAAACATACACTTACATTGTCGTCAACTTCATATTAAAATGCCATCAGTGAAGTTGCTTGTCTCAAAACTACAATAAATTCCTATCCAATATCACTGATTGATTATCCATCGTCTAAGGTTTATGTAATAACTGTCCTTTATCGATTACAAGTGCAACTTCTCATTGACTTCTTCTTATTGTTTTTATTAAAAATAGCAATAGCAATAACAATGATAATGATAACGATAACAATAATAATGATGAATTGTAGTGATAATAGAAGTTTTGCTTATAAGTAGGTTATACTAATAAATGTTATCAGCTGATAACAACGATGATGATAATAACTGTGATAAATAATGCAGGAAGTTTTAGATTACAAAATAATAGCATTAACAAATATGGTTACTTTTATGGTTACTTTTAAAAATCAAAATGGTTTAAACAGAGTTATTGGCCATATTTGATGAAGACGTTGAAATTAAACAGAGATTAATAGGCTACTGACATATAACCAGCCAATGTCGGATGCATAGTTAATGGCCAAAAGATTAATCTTAGGCTCTAAAAAGTTGCCATCAAAAATTTAAATCAACGCAATAACATCAAAAATTAATGAGAAACATGGGAATGAAAAAGAATAAATGAATGTATGAATGGATGAATGGATCTCGATCTAATATCAGCAACTATCATCTTTCCCATTTCTATTCCCTATTAAATGGTTGAAGGTGACAATGATAACAAACAAGTTGCTAAAAGAAAATTAAGTAATTAAGTAAATTGCACGAATAATACAAAAATTTTTTAATCTTCAGATTTAATTACTCAATTACAGTAATGTTTATGATCTGTACTAGTGATGTAAATTTCAGTTAATTTTATAATTAATTTAAAAAAAAGTTTCTCATCTATTTTTCTCTGCGATCATCCGATAATTGTTCGATGCATAACTTTTTAGAAAGTAAGTTATTAATGTTAAACATTTAATTATCTTATTTAATCAATTACTTGATTTAAAGTGATGAAAATTCTTTATTTTTGTTTTTAAAAATTGATTTAGAATTTAAATTGAATTTGAGTGCAATCATTGTTTAAAATGAAATGAAATTTAAAGGTATCCAACAGATTTTTTTCGTCTTTAATTTTTCTATCCTTTTTTTTATTCTCAGTTTTTTTTGTCTTTTTTTTCGTCCTCAATTACATCTTAAATATATAAGTATGTATCATATCATTTAAGTTAATTACTAATAGTTGATAATGATAATTCATTTCCACTTTTTTCCTTTGCTATCTAGCATACTGTACTTTAACATTTCAATCAACATCAAGTTGTTTCGTCGTTGTGTCATCTTAAAGATTTTACCTGCCCTACATATCTGATCTATTTACCTTACTGTATTGATAAGAATATTGACAATCGATAGATAGAGGTATAGTAAGGAAGAAAGGAAAGGAAGAAGAAAGCCTACTAACTATGTTTACACTTTGTTCAAATCCTCTCTGCTTACCAAATAATTGTAATGTTAGCTAATTATCGCTAATAAATCCACTAAAATCACTGTTCATTAACAAATCAACAGGCCGATTACTCATATCATCCTTTGATTAGGATCAGTTCAAGAAGGTGAAGTAACAGATGGGATGACAAAGGTCACCATCAAGCATCTCTCTTCCTATTCACTTTATAACATAATAATTACACCATACAAAATCATATACCCTATTATCATCTCATTTATTTATTTTTACTAACGCTTCCCATCAATCAATTACTTTATCAAATTTCAAATTATTTATTTTAGCGCATCAGGTAAAATGAAACGTGTAGCTCAAATTAGCTATGCAATAATGCATGTAACTTTGTGTTGCATCAATTGCACTTAACCTTTGACCTGTACCGCCTTCAACAGTAATTCACAGCAGGATAGATTAGTGTATGATGCGGCATTTCTCTGTGATAGGACACCCTGTCTACTTCAATATTTTTACTGTCTCCTCTACTTTCCTCTCTCAAAAGGTAATCATAAATATAAAACCACAAAAGTACAGATACGTACAGACATGTACACAACACAGACACACACACACACACATGAAATATAATGATGTGTAATTTTCAAAGATATAATTGAATATAGTGAATGAATGAAGAAAGGATGTCTCAATTAGCAATTTCTACCTGCCGATAAACTACGACATATAGTTAAGGTACGATAAAGGTGAATGATGGATAATTGGTTTATTCCAATAAAACATATTGTTCGAAATTTGGGAAACTGTAGAATGTATATATAGAATAAAAAAAGGAAAGATTGATAAGGTATATTGATTGATTGATTGATTGATTAGAGATGAAAAGGGATTATTTTTGATTTATTTATGAAAGAACAGCTAGAAAAATAATACAAAAAAAGGATGAAATAAATTAAATTAAACAAATTAATTAAAGCTAAATGTATCGTTTTCTTTTTCTTGAATATTTGGAAGGAATTTTAAGAAATATTTAATAATGAAAGATTTCAAAAAATAATTTTATTTCCTTCCAATTAAGTAATATATTTGTTATGAATGAAAAATTTTTGGGAAAATAAAATGTAACTAATTGTTGTTATTGCAACGTTCAATAGAAGTATACAAAACCGGAAAACTGGAATGTAAATTATGCAAAATAGGAAATTGTAAATGACAAATTTAAATTTCAATAAATTATACAGTACTGATAAGATAACAATTTTAGTTTTTGAAATAAAAGCACTAAATTTTGATATTGATATTATTTTCATCATTATTTCTTGAGTTTTACAAATATTTTAAAAATTATATTAAACTTCAACTATATCTTAATATACTAAATTATATTTTAGTTCCAATTTTTTGATCAAAGTCAAATTTTAAACAATTTGTATCATTTTTAAAGTGTTTGATAAAAACTTATTTAAAAAATTAATAAATAATGATTCTCTCTCTTACTTTCTCGTCTTTTTTTCCTCATACATTTAATCATTTTTGATGGCAATAAGTTATCAGTACTTCAAAATGAGAATAAAAATAATAAGAGATCATCTTATCAGATTATCAAGAATAGTTAAAAGAAGTTAAATTGTAAGCATAAATCGGAGATTGTTGTAGCTTCAACTATACCAAATGATATGTCTTTACACAATCCCAAAAGTATCGTTTTTGAAGTAATTTCAAACTTCTTCCAATTCAACTTCTCTCATCAACAATTATTTATGAGAGTTTGAGAAGGAAAAAAGAAATTGGCAGCGATTTTATTTTCCTTTTCCTTTCGTTCGTTTTATTTTGAACTTTGGAAAGGAAAAAAAAAAGAAAGGAAAAATGGATGAAAAGAATAAAAATGTGTTCAAACAGATCCATTAGATTGAATCAAAAAATTTTGGAATAAAAAAATCATAAATTTTGTCATTTTTATTTTTTAATTTTTAAATTTAAAATTATACAATTTGTTAATTTATTAAAATGTAAAAATTCGAAAAAGAAATTTAAAACTACTTTATCAATCATTTTAAGTTAAACATTTCTTTTCCTGTGCAATTTACTTAAAATTTATTTTAATTAAATTGTTGTATTAATAGAAATAAGCAAATAAATAGAAATTAATAAACATTCTGTTCCAGTTGAAATGTTTCAATCAAGTTGTAAAATTTACTTCATAAAGACTTTCAATAATTTTCTCAATTCTTCTATAAACATGTAATTTTTTTTTTGCTTTATTATTTAACGCATAATTGTCACCTTGTTTATAACAGTATCATATACAGTATTGTAGGTGATAATGTCACTTTTATCTTTTTAAAGCTTTTATTAATTTTAAATGAAAATTCGAATTATTAATTTACTCAAATTCTATCGAATAACTTTTTTTGCATTTCTATTTAAATTACTAATTATTACAGTTGCAAAAAGGAATTTGTTACAATGTTGAAAACTGTTATACTATAATTATTGATGGATGTGTAAATGTTCCAAAATTAATGCTAAGATATATTGGAATATTTTGTTATTCTGTCAAAATTTCAAGAAAATTTATGCAAAATTCCAGCATTTTTAGGCATAAAAATGTCCTTGAATCAATCAAAATGACCTCTTCTTGACTTTTAGATGTGTAAATTTGGCGCCAAACAAATAGAGTACCATTAATCCCTAAATTAACTGAAACGAATTTACATATTCTTACAATATCATCGATTATGTCATCATTAGTCTTTTAGACAGTTTTGACATAAATTTACGGTAATGAGACAGTTTTGACATATTTACGGTAATGATATGCTAAACTATGATGGGTGTGATAGAACGGACGATGGAACGAGGATGGGTTATATGGGATGACACAACCATAGCTATGAATTAAATGTCACTAAGTGATAGATTTCAAATTATATTTGCAAAATTTACATATAAATTGATATATGTATGTATGTGTTCGTATGTCAATGCTACCCTTATGACTTGTTGATCTTATATTCTAGAATGATGGATTACGAATTACTAGTAATTAGTAAAATCTTACGAAATAGAATTATTGACTAATAATGGGATAATCCCAAATTTTCGAATCATAAAATGCATGAAAAGATGTAATTAAAATTTAAATTAAAAAACTTTCATAAAACAAAATACCAAAATGAAAGTAAATAAAGATTGATTTTTAGTAAATTAACCCAATAATATGAACATATAAAAATAATAATTAACAATAATTAAACGATTTCTTTTCGATTTTCTTTTTTTCAAAAGCATTAATTACAATATGTATATTATCTGATATCGATGAAATATAAATTATATTTAATTATCTGCCCTTTCATTCATTATCGGAAATAATCATCATATAAGCAATATGATAGGAAAAAGGTTTAGATCATAAAAATAGAGAAATATCATTTCTTCTCACATATAATATTCATTTTAGCTTTTTTTTTTCCTTTGAATTGATTACTTTAAATTAGTTTATTTAAAAAGCTCTTGAAATATATGCTTTTTTTTAAAATCAAAATTGAAAATAAAATTTGGATTTAAATTAAAATATTTTGAAAAAATAAATTTCAAAAATTTTCACAAGAAGAAATTTGCAAAAATTTCACATCATCATTTCATCATTAACATTGTTTTTCTGAATTTTCAGATAAATGAATGGATAAGTGAAAAATTAAATTCTTTGTATGAGATGAAAATACAGCAAAATCGGCAATTCTTCCCAAACTCTCATGGGAATTACCAGGTCCAAGGATTGGAAATCCGTTAATAACTCATCCAAAAATCCAATCTACTTTCTATTTATATATATATACTTATATACATATACATATATATATGTGTGTGTGTGTGTATATGTGTCTGTGTATTTGTAATTCCTTTATCCAGCTCTCATAATTAATGTTGAAGAAATATGGGTTACCGGTTGGGTAAGGGTAAAATTAGTGATGGTTCGAGATTATAGGAAAAGAAAAGGCGACAAATGGAAGATGAATGAAGAAAAGAGCGAAAAAGAAGGAAAATATAATGGATAACATTAAAAACTTTATGCATACATACATATATATTTATATATATGTATATATGTATATGTATATATACATATATCGTAATCAAATTTGCAAAATCGGGCACAAAACCAGTACGACGATCCCAAAATCCCAAAGTAATTTCATTCCTTATCCTATTTCATTCTATTCCTTTTCTCATCCTTTCCATCTCTTTTTCTCTCCCTCTCTCTCTCTCTCTCTTCTATTTTC